TCTCTCTCCCCCCCCTCCCTCTCTCTCTCTCTCTCTCTCTCCCTCCTTCCCTCCCCCACCCACCCCTTAACAAAGTAATTGACAAGAAAATGAGAGCAAAACAATTCATGTTGGAGACCTGAGATAATTGGCAACCCAGGCTCTCTTTTCTCCATATTTCTGTTTTGCCTGAAGCCAACGACAACTGTGAGTAAGGACCCCTGTGCATGCTAAAGAAACCCAATCCTTTCTAGTTAGAATCAAACAAACAAACACTTCATACATGAGACTCTACCAGCCACTGGGTAACAAATATGCCCTTTCAGGGAATGAGATCATCCAAATCCCAGACAAGTTTCCTATCTGACTTGATGTCCATAGGTACAGATGATGCAGAGCCTTAAATTTAGCCCCTGTGGCTCTGCCCAGGGAAGCTGGAGCTGGGGCAGTCTGCCCAAAGGCAAAAGCTGCAGAAAGAGAACTTCCCTCTCTCTTGTCTTTCTGTTCTCTCTCTTCTTTAGAAGCAAATTCCTGGGGGCCTCTGTTCAGCCTAGAGGCGTTTGTCTGACTAGTGGAGGCACATCCTGAGAAGGGACAAAGAGTGAAATAAACCACCCCTGTGTCCTGGGGGATTCCAGGAAGAGATTAGGGAAGTAACTGGGGATTGGGGGGAAGGAGGGGAAGAGTTCCCAGCTCCACGCACAGTCATTTGATAACCTTCCGCTGGCAGACGACCGGAGAATTAACAGAAGCATGGAAGCTGGTGAGCAAGCCAGGGGACATGAGGGAAGAAAAGAAAGAGGTGGGCTGGGGTTTTCAGTCATTGTGTTTCTTTTTAAAGAAAAATAACATACATCCAGGAAAAGGGACCAGTGCACAGGATGAGGAATCCCACTTAATATTTACTTATCCCTCATTTTGGTTCTGCATTTATTTTATGTCTCTGCATAATGGAGACATAATGGAGAGGGTCAGCTCATCTGCATCTTGGCAGTTCCTACACTTTTACTCAGTGTAAACCATGACAGCTTTTCCCGCTGGACACGGAAAGTTTGAGGCATTCCCATTTGACAAAGCTCCTGATATACTGTGAAATGAAGAAATAACAAAATAGGGTTATGGAAACGGAGCTCTATTTTCAACATGCACTTCTAAAAATCGAAGGGATGTAATGAGTGCCTCTCAAAGCACTAAATACATGGACACAGATGGGGAGTGCATGGGCAGCTTCATCTACAGGTAATGCCCAAGCAGAGAAAAGGAAACGGGCAAATTAGACCCCCGCCTTCTGCTCCAGGACACCTGCCGTGGCCCCTTACTACCACACTGGGCCCCGCCAGAGAGGCCCTGAATCTGGTCACCAGGAAAGTCAGAGAGGCTCTTGTGTGGGTGGGTGGAGTGGAGACCATCCCCAGGCCCCCACAAGATGGCCAGGTGATGAATGATGGCCCTCTGATACTGTTCAATGTCAGAAAGAACCCGCTTCTGAAATTGCTCGTCGCCTTCCAACTGAGAAATTCACTTTGCAGTAACCTTGTCATCTCAAAACGCATGGGTCCCAAAACGCACGGTGAAGGCTGGTTACGCCAAGGGAATTTGAGAACTGTCCCCAAGTGCTGCCCTTCAGCTTGCAGAGCTGAATTAGTCACAACCAGACCCACTCATAAGTGTGCATGCACACTCTGCCACGTGCCACAAAGGTAATGTGAGAAACAGTGATACCTGGCCTTTACTCGTCTGCGTCCCAGGCACTGTGCTGGCTCTGGCTAGCAGCGGCCGTGTCAAGCAGAGGTGAGCTCTGGAGACCAACTGCCTGGGTACCGAATCCCATTCCATCGCTTACTATTTGTGTACCATCCCTTTGTGTCTTCGTGTTCTCACCTGTAAAAGAGACCGATTAGGGCTGTCAGGAGGATGAAATGACTCGGTTCACATGAAGGCATCCAGGAGAATGCCAGGTGGATAGTAAGCCTTCACTAAGAGTCAGCGGTTAAGACAACGTATCCACCCCTCACCACAACTTCGGGCAGGATCTCTTTTTATTCCATTTTAAGAATTGAACTGAGACCTAGGGCAGTTGTGTCCGTTGCTATGATCTGTAATGTGTACAAAGGCAGGTAGAGGTTCACCTCCAGTTTGTCAGATTTGAATGTCTGCTACACTGATGATCGTCTACTTTCTCACACTCTCGACACCCTCAGAGAAGCTGGGATGGCTGCGAAACGGCAATAAAGCAAAAGAAAAAAATGCAAGACATGGCGTTTTCCACTTTTATTTTAGAAGACGGGAATCTAGAAAGCTGAAGAGTTTATTTCACTTTCTCTCCATCAGCTCTCTTTTATCTTTCCTTTTCTCGCTTCCTCTGTCTAGTGATAAAATGCTCTGACATAAGACAAAATGCAAATTATGTGCTATTGCCTTAAATTGTTCCAGTTCATTTAGCTTGCCACGAGCATTCATTACAGCTAATTATTGTAACAGATTTTTGTTATTCATAATTATTTTTCCATGTTGTAATGATCATAAATTTAAAAAATTCTGGCCATCATGAGTCACCATGCATGCTCGTCAGGGATTTTTTTCCCTTTTTTCTTTACAGAACATTTATATGCTCATTATCATCAATATATATGTAGGTTGCTATTCTTCATATCTAATAAAGCCCTTTTGGGGTATGCAGAGTGACTTCAGAAATGCAGTAATTCTCAGGCCTAATGACAAGCTGATGTTCTGCTTAATTTTAGAAAATCAAATTAACGACCTCTGATTAAATGTACAGCAGATCTCACTGTGTTAACGGTGTCAGGCTCATGATTCCAGGAAGAGAGATGCTTCCTTAACTCATCACTATGCAAAATATATACACATATATATTTTAAAGATCATCTTCCCAAACTGGTATACTAGGCGAACATAAGCATTCCCTGAGAATGGGAAAATGACGAGCAAAACAAAACTAGTCAGGGAAGTGCATTTATATCACCAGTGATTAGAATCAGCATGTAGTGGGTGTAAATCTCAGGCCACATGAAACAAATCTTATTGCATTATTTTCGTTTGACCAGCTTGGATTTGGTTAAGTGTTCTATTCCATATCTATCTCCTGGGAGTTTCAGCTCTCCTCGGTGCATTCTTGAAGAGCCAAGGACACCTGAAGGGCACATTCTACCCTTTGAGGTTGTGCCAAGAATGGGAACTTATTCGACGCTGAGGCATCAGGTCTGTGATGACGTGTCACCCACCCTCACTCCCTACCGCTCAGACACGCCACTGCCTCTCTTTGCATGGTTCTGTCGCTTTGCTTCCCCTGCCATGTCTGGTGCAGAAATCTGACTTAGATGTCGAGTCCTGAACATAAGATCCATCCTTCCAACTGCCCATCTTGGGCAGTTCTTCCCAGGTGCTGCCACATCTCATATGCTGTCTTAAGGGGCATGAGTTTCCTTCTTCAGCTAAACCTGCAGCATTCACTTCTCGGTGCCCAGCGTACAGGAAGTCACTGAGAGGCGAACTCCCCTCTGCCTGTACTCTCATCTCGAGGTCTCCCCAAGCTGCATGGCACTCAGTAGAATCTAAGTGCTCATGGTTCCTCAATGTGGAGTGAAGAGTTCTGAGTTACGCTTTGGGCTCCAGATGCTATACTTCCTCAATATCCTTTTGTATGTATCTAATAAATATTCACGACTTTGCATGCCTACACAAAAACACTGATTAGCTTCCCGAACCCCGCTTCTTTCGAGTCTCCACGTTTCGGTAAATGGCACCGCATCTACTCACTCACTCTCCGAGGCCTGAGAGTCGTCCCCGATTCCTTTCTTTCTTTCCCACTGCTCAGAAAAGTTTCAGCGAATCCTCTCAATACGGTCTCCAGAATACGGCCCGCACTGACCACTTCTGTCCACCGTCCCGGTAAAACCCTAGTCCAAGTTCCATCATCTAACACCTGGACGAGTACAGTAGTTGCCCAGCCTTGCCTCTTGCCTCTCATACCCCCTTCTTTCTGCAAGACAGACAAATCTCTCTAAAGCATAAATCAGATCATGTGACACACTGGCTTCAAACACTCTAGTTACTTTTCATTACACTTAAAATCCAAACTGTCCTGTCCTCCAAGACTTTACGACCTGGCCCCTGACTTCCTCATCCACTACTGCATCTCATCCCTCCCACCCCCTCATCCAGCCATGGTAGCCTTCCTCCGGTCCTTAAATATAATTCACTTATTTGGCTATTAATATTTATTGGTCCAGGTTTTGAGATAGAACACTCTACGGATTTTTTTTTTTTTCATTTAAGACTCACAACAGCTTTTTAGATTAGGCACTGTTATTATTGCTATATGACAATTGAAAAAATAAAGTGGATGCTTAGAAAACATATCTTATTACGTGATAGATTAGGGTAGGAGAAATATGAGAAGGAAAAGAACTATAGTACAGATTGGTGCAGAAGCGTCCTGGCACTGTTGCTTCCGAGTCAGGCACACCCAGATGCATCCGCCACCCTGCAAAGCTGTCCGTCACAAAGGTCAGTCCTCCCACCCACACTGGCTCTCCTGCAGCTACTCGTAACTCCGGGCATCTGTTTTACTCAGCCAATTAGAAATTACCAGGCTCAAGAAAATTGAAAGAAATTAAAAGCAGAAAGAGAGAGACAGACAGATAGAGAGAGAGCACGAGACAGCATTTGATTCTTTGGGGCTGAACATATTCAACCAAAAACTAGAAACAACTGAAATGTCCCTTGAGGGAAGAATGGATATATCCATTATGGGTCTTCTTTATCTCAACCAAGTGCAATTTTGCACCCAGGGGCCATATGGGAGTGTCTGGAGATGTTTTTGGTTGTCGCATTTGTGGGGCCGGGAGATCTAGTGGGCAGAGTCCAGGGATGCTGCTAAACATTCTGCAGTGCGCAGGACAGCACCCCCCCGCCAAAAAAAAAATCTGGTGAACCACCTGGACCAGCCTGGTTTTGAAATTACAGATGGCACCATCTCTCTTAATTATGTATTTTTTTCAACACTTAACCCACTCTCACTATGTTACAGGCATTTTGCAAGGCACTGGAAATACAAACCTGTATGTATGCACACAGTCATAAGAGAATATGAGAGAGCAGTGGTAAAATCATTCACAAGGTGTTTTGAGAGCACAGAGAACGAGGAACATCTAATGCAGCCAGGCTGGTGCTCAGGGAAGACTTTGTGGGAGAAGGTTTACTTGAGCTGAGACTGAAAGCGGATAAAGGGGAGGAGCCACCATGCCACCCCAGGCTGGGAGATGAGAATTGCAACCTGTGGGCACCTTGGCCTGGATGTGCAGCTTGTCCACACTTCCTTAGAATCATGTAAATTCCCACTAATTCCATTATGTGTTTGCTTTTTAACCCGAGAAAGATCTATAGTTTATTGACATAATAAAATATGACAAGGCTTTAGTCAAATCAAGGTGATAATCATCTGGGAAACTAGACCTTCCGCCTGCTCTCTACCACCAGCACCACCAGCATAAGAGGGATAAATATAATGGGTATGGTTATGTCCATTATATATAATAGTTCTCAAAGCTGATCTCTGGATAAGCAACATCATTGTCTTCTGAAACTTGTTAGAAAGGCAAATTCTCGGGCCATTACTGAGACCTACTTAGTCAGAAAATGTGTTGGTGGGCCCAGCAATCTGTGGTTTAAGAAACACTTGAGGTGATTCTGAAAAACACCAGATTTTAAGAACCACTTACATAGAGAATCTGGGCTACTACCGCCTCGATGAGTAGTATCAATGTTGACCCCATGCCACAGTGAGCTGGGATGGATCAGGAGGAGCTAGAAGCAGAGTTTCTGCACACAGCTGATGAAGGCCTTTGGGACACCTTTCCCTTATGACGCTGTCATTCAAATTGTTCACAGAAATGGCAGGATAGGTGCCCCTGCGCCATTATAGAACTTGTCTGATGAGCAGACTCTCAAGCCCCATAGCTCATTCCAGGCCTACCAAATCAGAATCTTCATCTTAACCAGATCTTCAGTTAGTTAAAGTGTATATTAAAGCACAAGAAGAAGCACTACAAGCTATACTCTAATTTCAGACCTTTAAATCGATGCTTACTTGTTTCTAGTCATTGAAATACAATGTGCAGGAGTTTGACCCTATCCATGCATCACAATTACTATTATTTACTTAAAATTTCCAAATGAATCCAAGTCACATTTTTAACGGAAATAAATGTGTTTTTAGATTAAACTTTGTACTAATTCCATTGAAGAAAAAACAACTCAACTCATAACAAACAGAGAGGGTGCATAAAAAAAACAGTGAAAAGTAAGCAGTATTGCTGAATTGGAGCTACACACTACTGGCTGCCAAAGGTTGCTGAGCTTGTACTACCTGTGTGAACAAGAATGGTGCCAAGGTAAAAGTGTTAAAATCTCTAGCTCAGAACTTAGTCTCTCTCTAGGGACAAGGATTGAAAGAGAATTGGAAAGGGACAACCTCATTACTAGGTCATTTACAATTATATAAAGCCTGATTCCTGGGAAGCCCCAAATTTTCTAACTTATTACCTAAAAATCAACTCCTGTACCCCCTGTCAATAATTCTTTTGAAAATACTGTTCTAGCGCAGCGTTTCTCAAACTTCAAAAGTGCATTCGAATCACCTGGAGATCTTATCAAAGCGAGGCTTCTCACTCTACAAGTTGGGGGCGGGCCCCAAGAGTGTATAATCTGGACGAGGGCCCAGGTGATGCCCCTGCTGCTGTTCAGGGGACCACGCTTAAGTAGCAGGGCTGGAGATGTGACCATATCAATAGGCAGGAAAGACAGGGAAAACTTGCTCAGAGAAAGGGAGATGAGATGAGGGAAGGAAGAGAATTATGGGT